CACAGGGCACGGCCACCCTCAGGATCCACGTCCACCACAGGGCACGGCCACTCAGGATCCACGCTCACCACAGGGCATGGCCACTCAGGATCCACGCCCACCACAGGGCACGGCCACTCAGGATCCACGCCCACCACAGGGCACGGCCACCCTCGGGTCACAAGCCCACAGGCTGGAGGCTCATAGGATGCACTCCCCAAGGAGATGCTCAAGACCCGCCCGCGGGCACACAGGAGGTGCTCCCTCCTGCCCGCGGGCACACACGAGGTGCTCCCTCCCACAGGGCCTGGGGCTCCAAGTCAAGCCACAGCTCCCCGTACCAGAAACATCAAATCTCCTCCGGCTTCTCCACTGCACAGGGCGTGTGATGTGCGTGATCGTGTGCGACCTGACTGTCACCTCATGGGCTCTCGTGTCAGTGTGCAAATGTGCGACCATGCCTGTTGACTTGGTTGGTGTGCCCTCATGCAAAGTGCACAAACAGATGTCCTCAGGAGTGTGACAATATGATCTCGTGGGAGGGTGAATGCCCCTGTGTGCAAACAGGTGTGACCCTGGGTGTGCGAGTCTGCAAGCACGCTCGTGTGGGAGGCCTCTTGTGAATGTGTGAGCTTGGTGTGTGTAAGTCCCAACAGGCGGTCTGTGAAGATCCGTGTGAGCAAGGATTCCCAGGGCTCTGTAAACTCAATCCAAGAGGAGCTGATACCAAGGGCTCAAATGGAAAGTAATGTTTAGAAAATGATAATGGCAACATGTGTACAAATATGCTTGATAACAATGGATGTACAGAATGTTGTAAGAGCTGTAGAAGCCCCCAATGAAATGATTCAAAAACAAACCTAATCCATCCTCGCCTTGCAGCTCCCGCCTCGCCAGCCTCACCCCTGTCCTGCCCGCCCCCACAGGGCTCCTTGTTCTGACCCTGACCCCCCAAGACAAGCCTGCCCTCCCACTCCACGCCTGTCCTGCAAACACTGCCTGTGTGTGGCACATCCAGCCCCACGGCCACCCACCCCTTTGTGAAAACAAAGGGCTGGGCACCACCTTGGGTCTCCCCGTGGCCACGCATACTCCCCACCACGCTCCTGTCCCACGAAACCAACCACGAATGCCGTGGGGAGCAGGGCCCGTGCCCACAGTCTTGCCAGGACCCCACGACCACATGACTGCATCAGCCCTGTGTCCCTCCCTCCCAGCCTTGCTCCACTACTCCCTGGAAAGCAGGGGATGGGATTGTGGGATGGCAACTGGGAGCACTGACGGCATTGAGAGCAGGGTGGGGTCGGGTGGGCAGAATGCTCCACAGCTACTAAGTGCCTCCTGAAGCCACGGCCAGAGGTGCTTTCTGGAAGACCAGTTGCAAGGACTCGGTGCTCGAGACTTGGGTAAGACGGGCGCCTGCAAACACTGACGACAGAAGTGACTGTCTAGATCCCCAGTGCTGGGTGGTCGAGGTGGTTATGCCTGGGGCTGGGATCCCGTGATTCGAAACCACCAGCCGCTCCTTGGGAGAGGGACCGGGGGGCGCTTCCCACTCCCGTGAGCAGTGAGTCTCAGAAAGCTGCGGGGGTCACCAGGAGTCAGCCTGGACTGGATGGCAGTGAGTTTGGTTTGGACACACTGAACACTTCGGCTGGCAGAGCGGGAATAAGGCTTCTTCACGAAGTCTAAAACAAAGCCTATTCAAAACCATGCTCTATGGAGTCCTGGTGGCACTGGGCTGTTAACCGCAAGGGTGGCGGTTCAAACCCACCAGCTGCCCCTGAAAGGAAGGGGAGGCTGTCTGCTCCTGCACAGCCGGGGAAACCCTCGGGAACACAGGTGTCTGTCCTGTAGTGCTGCTCGGAGTCTGGCTTTTGCTGTCCTCTCTCTGCCACACTGGCCCTCAGCATGCAGATTCTGCCAGGGGAGGGGGCCTCAGCTCTTCCTCAACCCAGGGTCCTGGGTGAGCCCCGGCTTCCGGGGTGGGGCCGTCTGTGGGGTTTCACACACTTGTTATTAAGTCATCAGGTTTCTCGGGAGGGGCCTGGGGAGCTGGGAGAGAGGTATTTTTATTACCCACCTATCTCTTATTACACAAGAGAAAACAATCTTGCATTATGGCCTCAGCCACGGTACACAAATCGGTCTCGACTGTGAGTCATACGTGCTTGCAAAGGAACTCTTATCACCACATTCCCGTGGGGGGAGAGAGAAACTCACAAAGCAAGGGGCGGGCCTTGTGTGTTTGTGGGTGAATCAACGTTGCCCCTGAGGCCGACCCCCTGCACATACACTCAGTTCCAAGACAGATCCCGGCTGGACTCAAGGGGCAGCTGGAGGGAGGGGTTTCTAGGAAGGCCTTGGAAGGGAGCCAGACTTCAAGTTAAAGCACTGACAGTGGATCTTTGTTTCAGGACGTTGGCACTGGTCCCCGACCTCAGCCCCATAATGCAAAGCCCCGGTGCCGGCCACAGCAGGGGCAGGTACGCCAACCTCGGTGTCCTGAGGAGCAAGCAGGGAGCATTCCTGGGAGATGAAGTGCCCCAGGACAGGGGTGGGCGGGAAGGCTGGGGTTGTCCGAAGGGGCCACCGGCCTCACCCCAATCTAAGCTCATTTCCCCACACTTTAAAAGTGATGAACGAGTCCCAGGGGTGAGCCCTGCCTCTCCCAGGCCTCTTTCCAAAGCCCCTGGGACCTTCACAGTCCAGCCAGGGATGCCATGCATGTGGGGGGGCAGGTGGCACTCAGGGTTCCACCTGAGAATTGGGGCCACGACCTACAGCTGCCCCATCTGGCTGTGCAAGGGTGAGGGGCTGGCTTTGTGAGGGCCAAAGGGGCTGCCTGTGGTGGGGCGGGCACAATGAATGGGTCACTGGTCAGCTACACACCCAGAGCCACCCATGGAGGAGGGGCTGCCTGCGTTAGCACCAGATAAGGGCCGAGTCAGCTTATCACAGCCCTGCGGAGTCACTGCGACCTTTGGGGTAGTCTATCTTTTGGGTAAAAGTTTAAGCTTGAAAGCTTGATTTGCTACTGCCCAAGGTGAGAAGGCTGGGTCAGGGCAGTGCCCGCCCAAGAGGAGGACGTGGTGGGGAGGGGATGGTGACTGGGGGCCTCAGGTACTCGGTCACTGTCCCACCCCAACCTAGGTTTTCCCCAGCCACAAGTCTAGTGTGACCCTACCCTGTCTGTCCTTCAGTCTTCTCCTGGCCCTGCTGTTTTATTTCTTTTTAATCATTTTACGGAGGGCTCATGCAGCTCTTATCACAATCCATCCATCCATCCATTGTGTCAAGCACATTTGTTGCCATCAACATTTCCAAAACATTTTCTTTCTGCTTGAGCCCTTGGTATCAGCTTCTCATTCCTCCCCCCTCCTCCCCCACGAACCCCTGATGATTTATAAGTCGTTGTTTATTTGTCTTACACTAACTGATGTCTCCCTTTACCCACTTTTCTGCTGTCCATTCCCTGGAGGGGGAGTTATATGTAGATCATTGTGTTCTGTTCCCCCATTCTCCCCCCACCTTCCCCTTCCCCTCCTGGTGTGACTACTCCCATTATTGGCCGATTCCCTGTGTTTCCAGTTCCTATCTGTACCAGTGTACATGCTCTGGTCTAGCCAGATTTATAAGGTAGAATTGGGATCATGATAGTGGGTGGGTGGGAGGGGAGAAGCATTAAAGAACTAGAGGAAAGTTGTATGTTTCATTGGTGCTACACTGCACCCTGACTGGCTCGTCTCCTCCCCGTGACCTTTCTGTAAGGGATGTCCAGTTGCCTGCAGATGGGCTTTGGGTCTCCACTCCGCACTCCCCCTCATTCACAATGATAGGATTTTTTGTTCTTTATGCCTGATACCAGATCCCATTGACACCTCATGATCACCCAGCTGGTGTGCTTCTTCCATGTGGGCTTTGTTGCTTCTGAGCTAGATGGCCACTTGTTTATCTTCAAGCCTTTAAGACTCCAGATGCTATCTTTTGATAGCCGGGCACCATCAGCTTTCTTCACTACATTTGCTTATGCACCCACTTTTGTCTTCAGGGATCACGTCAGGAAGGTGAGCATCATGGAATGCCAGGTTAATAGAACAAAGCATTCTTGCATTGAGGGAGTACTTGAGTAGAAGCCCAGTGTCCATCTGCTGCCTTAATACTAAACATATATCGTATATACTCGAGTATAAGCCGGCATGAATATCAGCGAAGGCAACTAATTTTACCACAAAAACTGCCGAAAAATGTGCTAAAAAAACTCGGCTTATACACAAGTATATATGGTAAATATATGTACATAGATCTATTTCCCCATTGTCATATATAAACATATGAACATATGCATATGCCTGTATTTAGGCCTCTATAAATGCCCTTTGCCTCCTAGTTCTTTCTTCTATTTCCTTTTACTTTCCTCTTGTCCCACTATCATACTCAGCCTTCATTTGGGTTTCAGTAATTCCTTTCGGTTACATTGCCCTTGATCAAGACCTCCCTACCAGGCCCCTTACACCCTCCTCACCACTGATTTTGGATCGCTTGTTGTTCCCTTGTCCCTGTGTGTTAACACCACTTCCTTTCCCCCACCTCTCTCTCTCCCATGTCCCTCTGGAACCATCGATTGTTTACCCCACCTATCTTACCTAGATAGACCTGCAGAGATAATATGCACAGACACAGCAAAACAAAGCAACAAAAGAAAACAAAATAACATCAACATCAACAACCAAATACAAAAAGGACCCAAAAAACCCTATAAATAGTTCAAGGTCTGTTTGTTGACCTTTAGAAGTGTTTTCCGGTTGAGTCTGATGGGGTGGCACGCCCTGGCCCCTGCTCTGTTTTTAAACTGTACTTGTGCTTTTATATCTAGTGTCAGAAAATGTGTCCTTTCACTTGGCTTCTGCCCATGGTGTCCCCCAGACCAAGGCCTGCCAACTGTCGAGACGGAAGAGCCAATCCTGTCCCCCACAACAATTTAGACAAAAGTACTGACCAACAAATGAAGTCACCATGATTGGAACCTTTGAAAAGGTTCACTTCAGAGCCCAACCCGGGGTGTTACCAGCATATGGGGGCTCTCTTGTCCCCTACTGTTTATTCCTTAAAGATTGTCTCCACGTGTTCTGACGGTACGGCAAAAGCGTAGTGGGGCTAACCCATTACAAACGCCTCTGCCCGGGAACTATGAAATATTCCTCAGTGTCTGAAAGCTACATTTAGGCCAAATTAACAAACAAAACTTAAATGATAATCAAGTGTAGAATTCAGTCTCAATGTCAACAACAGGAAGCGCTCTCAACAAAGAAGGAGAAAGCACTTAATCCAAACAGCGTCACGACCCACTGGGTCTGAATGGGCTGGTCACTGGACAACAGGACCGCCAACTCTTGTTGCGCTTGCTGTGCCCAAGGGTTAGGTCCGCAGGGGCCAGACCACAAGCCCGTGTGTGCCTTTGTAAGGAGGGTCTCTCCTGTTCTCAGAGACCCAGCTGGAAGCACACATCTGAGCAGAACAGACCGCAGACTCACAGCTACTGGCCAACGGTAACCGATCTGAAGACCCCAGGGTCTGATCGGAGGACCCCCCCAGCCAAGAGCTCCTCTATATGTGGCAGGCCCACAGTGACACCTCTCCATCCTGGGCACCACTGTGAAGGGGTGGCGTGAGGACCCCCCCAGGGGGCTCAGGGAGGCCGGCCTCTGGGAAGAGTGTGTGGCACCAGAAGGCTGGGGACCAGAAGAACCAAGTCTGACCTCTTTCCCTTCCCCTGGGGGTAACCAGCCTGAAGACATGCCCATTTGGAGCTCTCCTGGGGCAGCTGGTCCCAGCAAGAGTGGCAAGGGCCCCCACCAGACACACATCTGCAGGTGGGCGGGCGGGCACAGCTGTGAACCTGACCCTTTCAGAAGTCCAGCTCGGCCAGCAATGCAGTTTGAGAGAGGCTTCTCATTCGGCAGCTGGCCAGGGGCTGCCCTCTCCTTCCTAAGGAGGGGATGGAGGGTTGTGAAAACTCGGGCCCAGGCCCCACCTGGGGGGCTGGCCCGAAGCTGCTATGGCACCTCCCCTCTAGCATGGCCTCGGGCTCGCCTCTCCACACGAAGGGTCATTCTGAGGACGCCGGCTCTCCTCCCACAGACAGACGCCAGAGACTACCCTGAAGACACACTTAGCCGGACGCTAGAGACCCAGGGAGCTCTGCAAACTTACAGGGGCCTTCTTGTCAATGGGCTTGATGACAAACTTCTTGTCATTGAAAGAGATGTTTCTGATTTCACTCCACGGGAAGCCAATCTTTGGGGTCAACCTAAGGTTAAAAAGCACAACAAAAGATGGACTGTTAGACAGATGGACATGGACAGACACGTGTGCACACACGTGCGCACAGGTGCACACATGCACACTCGCTCAAGTGGGCCAAGAGAAGTTTGCATTTCTGTTCTTATTTTCAGTTTCTAACTCAGGAGGAGCTCCCACCTGGCCCTAAGTCCAGCCAGGTGGTTTTCTGGAAGGTTCCAGCCTCCTGAGAGACTGATGCATGCCCATTCACACCCGTCCTCCAGGCCTGCTCTCTCCACCTCCTGTTGCTGGGCTTAAGAGCTGGGCGGTCAACTCTGACCCCTGACCAAGGGTACACTGCCATGTTCCACCTGCATCCTACCTCACCCCCCACCCCACCCCCACTGTGGTCAGAGCTTCTCATATACATGCCTCCTGTCACCCATGCACCTGATTCCATGAGATAAAACCACATTCCTTAACTCAGCACCTGGACCCTTCTCATCGGGCCCCCACCTTCTTAGTTCACAGCCTGCCTTCGGACACCTCGATCTGCCCACTTGCCTCCTGGCCCACTTCCCTCTCCTCTCCTTAGAGCCCAAGCAAAGGGATCGCTGACCGGGGGAGAGGCCAGCCTCTCTCCTGGCAGACACAGTAGGATGATGAACACAATGAATGGAGAATGCCCCAAAGCCCCTTATACTCCTCCCTCCTCAGTTAACCCTGAACGTGAGCCCACACTCAGTGGAGAAGCGTGGGCTGGGAAAGGGGTGGTCGCTCTCCAGGCTGGCTTCCATGTGGCCCTCCCAGAAGCTATCCCCCCAAGGTCACAAGCCCAGCAGCGCATGCACAGCACGAGACTCGGACGCGGGTGCTGGCTGTGGAACAGCACTCCCAGGAAAGGTCACCGCGTGGTCTCAAGACCACGCTGCACACACACCCCACACCCGTCCCTCTGCCAGCAATGCTGTGGAGGTGAAGCCCCAGGGTCTCGCTCTCACCAGGTCCAAGTCAAGAGTCCAGCACAGAGCAGTTCCACCCTGTAGGGCCACCCAAGTCAGGGGTGACTTCACAGCCACACTTGGGATACCGTCCCAGATGTCACCGCAAGAGCCTCGCACCCCACCACTCTGCCACTGCGGCCAGAGAACCGGTCTTTCCCACCCACAGTGCACCTCCCATCCAGAAGGTGGCCGGGACGGGCAGTTCCGCCTGTCTTGTCTCCTTGTGCTGAGCACCTCCTGCTGGTATGCTGTCTTTCCCTCTATCCTAATGAACACGTGCCTATTATCTGGTGAGGGAGTCCTGGTGGGGTTGTGGATAAAGCATTTGGCTGCTAAGTGCAAGGTGGATGATTCAAACGCCCTAGCTGCTGCATAAGAGAAAGACGAGGCACCGTCAACCTGGCTGCACCGTGATCCTAAGTATCGGGCAATGTCCCTCTGGTGACCTGATGTAATTATCCAACGTGTAACCTCCATGATGCTCACAGGCAAGATGAGTGGCACTTAGGCAGTGAGGCAGGATCAGCTGTCTCGAGTCAATCCCTTTTGAGACGGAGAAGAGGTTAAATGAGTGAGCAGAGCGCAGAGGGCCCCTCCACCACCAAGGAAGAACTGGGAGCAGATGCCTCCCTGCGCTGGGGCCTCCTCGGTCTAGGGGAAGATGGATGCCAAGGAATGCTAGAATCACAGACGGTAAAAGGGGACAAGGACCTCCCCGGCTCAAGTGTGCGCCACGGGAGAGAAGGCTTCCGCCTAGAGCTGGCACCGTACATTTGGACCTCTTGCCCCATCCACTGAGAAAAACCATTGTTGTTGAAAGTCACCCCTTGCCGTATCTGGATTACAGAAGAGGCAGAGAACAGAGCCATGTAAGCAGCTCGGCGGCCAAATCCCCACACAGGCGACTCCCAGGCCATGAGGAGTCAAGTGCAATTCTCTGGGCCTATCTTTCTATGAATCTCATGCGCCTTGTTTCAGATCCTAGGAAAACCTGGACTTCAAGCTGGACAGGGGCTATCTTCCAAGGGGCTGGGACCTGGGCCCTCTCTGCTTTCTGGGGTTCCCTGAGCAAGCACCTTCTTCTCAAGCCTCCTGAAACAATTCACAGCCGCTGACCCATGATGACAGCCAGCCCCACTGTCCTGACTTCTGGCCTAGTTCAATGGATGCCATCATCCCTGTCCTTTGTTGGACCAGTGAAAGTTTCCGGAATTAATCTTTAAGTCCACAAGTAAAATGTCAGCTGTCCTTGTTTAAGCTGTCACACCCTGATGTCTCTGCAGTGGCAGGAGTGAGGAGTGGTGGGTGGGAGCTGGTTAGTACCAGCAAGTCAGGGGGCACTCAGAGCATCCTGGTGCCCGACAGGGTCAGCGGCCACCTGGAGAGGCTGGCTACTGAGGGCTAGCCTCAAGCCACTTGAGCAACAAACAGTAATAGATGATAAACTCAATGGCCCTTTCACAGGGGTCGCCTGATCCTTAACAGTAGCAAAATTACACTTATGAAGTAGCAACAAAAATAAGTTCCTGGCGGTGGGGGGGGCGGGGGGGGGCCCTCACCAACCCGAGGAACTGTATGATAGAGTCATGGTATTAGGAAGGTTGAGAACCACTGCCGCAGAGGAAACCAAGTCGAGGGAGCCCTGGTGGTAAAGTGGTTTCACGGTGGCTGCTAACCACAAGGTCTGTGGTTCAAAACCACCAGCCAGCCAGCTCCACAGGGCAGACGTGACCTTCCTACTCCCTGAAAGAGCTACGGTCAATCCACGTATAACCACCACCCAGGGGACAAGCAACAGCAAAGTGGGTGACGGGAAACAGCGGTTGGGGTAAGACATGAAAAAAATAATAATTTATAAATCATCAAGGGTTCATGAGGGAGAGAGCTCATACTGGACACATACGTACCACTGTGCTTGACGTAATGGACGGATGTATGGATTGTACTAGGAGCTGTAAGGGCGCCCAATACAATAGTTTTTAAAAAGAGCTACAGTAGTCTTGGAGACCCCCAGGGGCAGTTCTACCCGGCCCTATAGGGTCATTAGGGTTGGAATCGGCTCTGGCAGGGAGTTTAGCTTTTGGCGTTAGATTCGTATAACTGCCTCGACGGAAGAGAAATCAGTCCCTTCCTTACAGTGAATCCCAACCAACAAATAATAGGTCGGATTGGGGGAATAAAACCAGAACAACTCGAAACAATCCAACGGCCGCAGTAACAACAGTTCCAGGCCAGACTCACCAATGAATACTGGAATATGTGGGAAAGATAGGGAAAGAAACAGTAAGTTTACACAAAGTAGCTTCCCAAAAGATAACCAGGAACAATTGCTCAGCTCTGGTTTCCAGGCCCCCACGTGTCTCTCACTGCGCCCCTTCCCTTGTAGGGTTAATCAGATGGCTGGCAGGCACCCAGGGCCCCTCCGGACAGAGGCTGGACAAAGGGGTGAGGCCGAGGAGGGGAGGAAGCGGAGGTGTGGGAGGTGTGGGTGGTGATCAGAAGGGATAAGGAATGTGGGGGCAGTGTGGGGTTCCTCTAGGTGGTTCTGTGCTGTCGGGAGAATGCCAGCTCGCACTGAACAAACGTTCCACCGATCGTACCCACCAGGGAAGGCTGGGGCTCGTCCCCTCCAGCCTGTGTGCCCCTCTTCTAAAGATAGCATGTCTGCTGAAAGGATGCCCCTTCTGCAAACCTAGGGGTGAGGGGATGGTGAAGCTCAGCACACACACACCCCCATCCTAGGTCAGTCTGTCCACAGAGCTGAGAGTCAGCAATTCTCTCTGCTCAGTGCTCTGGCTGATGGTGACTTGACCCCCGGCTCCTGGTTACACTGGGAACCAAGTGGTCAAAGTTTGCCCAGAAGGCCTGTCGGCTGCCAGCAATAGGCTCGGAGGCTTGGTGGCTGAGGAGAGGAAGAGGCCAGGAGGGCAGGGGTTGGAGCCCTGTGTCTGGGGAGAAAGCCTCCCCGGGGAACTTCCAGCTTGGGGCTCTGTGAAGAGAAGCAGCAGAGAAGACGGGATGGGGCACTGGCTCTTGCTGTGCTTGGAACGAATGAATGTCTCTGTGGGCTGGGGGCAGTGGCCAGCTGACGTGGGCAGGCCCTGGCCTACGGCAGCTTCTAGCGGCCAGAAAAACTTGTTTGGAGGCCTGGCCCCTGACAAAAGCTGGTCATTGAAGCAGCAGGAGCGAGGCGGGTCTTCAGATGCTCCCGGGGGCCGGTGCATGCCCCACTGCCGTACAGCTGCTCCCATAGGAGCCACCCTCTGCTCAGCTCCGAAGGGCCTACAGCCCGAGGCAGGAGCTCTCTGATTTCCTTGACTGCTCATCTCAGTCAGTCAGCCCGGGTCCTTGGGGGGGAACGTCTACAGGGGCCTGAGGGCGATACTCCTCCCCTTGGCAGGACCTGTGAAGGCCCTTCCCCGGGGCTCATGGACACAGCAGCCTCCCACCGTGGGCTTAGTGCTATCATGCAGTCCAGGTCCCCACAGGTCCTGTCCCACTAGCACCTCGCTCTGCTTCAGGCCTGGCCAGGGCACCCTGGGCTGGGATAGGCAACAGCTCTTCTTGCCCACGCCTTTCCTCACCCCCATGTTAGTTCCAGAGAGGAGCGCCTGGGGTGTGGGGAGCTACTCTCAGCAAGGGCAGTGATGATGGTGGGCGAGGCCGGGGAGGCTCGGGCAGGAAGGGTAGGTGACGAACCACAGGCCGGTCCCGGGAGGAGGTGGCCTGGCCTGGGTCTGGGTCTGATACAGCTGGTACGTACCCTTAAGCCCCCCCCCGCCCCCCCACCAGCAGGCTGGCGTTTGGTGAGCCCTTCTGAGCCGCTAGGCTGAGCAAAGCAGCAGAGGAACTCAGGACTAAGGACTCTCTCCTTTTGCAGCTGCCTTTAGGTTCAGGCTCTGCTGAGCTGAAGCTGCTCCTCCTGGATGAGAGTGGGTCTGCGTGTTGGCTAGCGGTTCCCGGAGGCCCCTCGGGGTGTAGGCGCTACTGGCTGGGGTGGCTCACTGGAAGGCCGGAGGGTCCAGCCCACCGAAGACCCCGTGGAAAACAAGCCCACAGAATCAGCCACTGAAAACCTCCGGAGGACTGTTCCCTTCCCGGCTTGGGGGGACTCGAGGGCAGCTGTCTGTCTGTCTCCGCAGCAGAAAAAAAAAGACAATGTGTGCAATGTGAGGGAGGGGTAGGCAGGTGCCCAGAGCCCCTGTCCTGTGAGCCTGACTTCCCCCGAGCAGAGCACCACCGGCACACGGGGCTGGTGTTATGGAAGCCCCACGTCTGACGCCACCACGCACGGCGTACTTCCAGCCCTGACAGGAGCTGTGTGCTTACAGACTCGGACCAGGGCCTCACAGAAGGGGAGAGGGTGCCTTCCCAAAGCACCTGCACCCCTTATCCCAACTCCTCTACCTGCTTCTGAATCCTCAAGGCCCCAGACACTCCCCTACCCCACTCCATGGGCGACAGAAGTCACTGGTGCCCACCTGTGCCCCCAGTACCAGGACCCCCTCCATGGTGGCGAAGCCAGCTGTTTCAGAGGGCCACCCAAGTGTCCCACACCTGGAGAGAAGGACCGAGTTTGGACTCACTTGTCATCCTTCTCGTAAATGTTCAGCCCCAGGGCGTCCACGCCGAGCCAAAGGTCGGTCCCTTTCTTGTTCTTGATCTCGAAATAGTTGATGCCGTACATCTCCAGGTCCTGTGCGATCTTCAGGTACTCCAGCATGGCGCTGTCCCTGGACAGGCGGGGGAGGGGCCGTCAGCGCACACGAGCAACCTGCCATCCATCGTCAACACTGACACACGCGCCGCGAGGGACACCGGGCAACCACACGAGATGGTGGCCCAGATCGGAGACAGCGGGCCAGGACAGTTTGGAGGAAACTATACGGAAACCCACGCTACCGCATAAACCATCGCCCTCAACCACCCCAAGGAAATGTGTTTGGGAAACGCATGCACGCACGCGCTTCCGCACACAGACGCACATGCACAAATGGGCCAAGGGCTGCGGGCTGGTGAGGGGCTGTGCTGCCCCTCTTCCTCCTGGATCGGGGTGCTGACCGCGTCCGCTTCAGCAGTCAGGCAGACCTGCGGCGCCATCTCGTCCTGAGCTCCCTCTCCCTGGCTGCTTCGCACACTGGCCTTTTCAGAGGCACAAGGCATGACTTTCCGAGGCCTTCAGGGGCTCCCAGGCCACCCGCCCTGTGGCCATCATCACCCTGGGCCGTGGTCCTCTCGCCAAAGGCCGCCTGGGTCAGGCAGGGAGCGCCCAAGGGCAAAACACCGCCCAGGCTTCGCCAGGCGACGGGGCAGGGCCCAGGAGGAAGCCGCTCTGGGACGCAGCAGGAAGCCTGAGGTTTCTCACTTCCTGTGGCAACATGTCACACACAGGCCCGGCCCCGCCACACTCGTTTCTGCTTCTGTAATGTCGGCCTTTCCCGCTCGGGACCAACCGTTTCTCTCCTTCAGGACACTGGGGCCCCTCCCTTGACTAACAATGGGGAGTTCTCTGCCCAGACCTTGAGAAAGCTTTTGGGACACAAAAGGCTTCAGTAAACGTGTAAGAAGTCACTTGCAACACCTGATCTTCAGCTCTGCCCAGGGCGCGGGGCTGAGCCAGGAAGCTGCAGCCCTTGCTCACCTGAGCATCCCTCGGTGCTCGGCATGCCACACCTGGATGCGGTCCTCCCACTGGTCTCGGGTGAGCTTGTGCTGGTCCATCACTCTGGGAAGGAGCAGAGCACACGCCGTGTCACGGAGGGCACCTCCATCCTGTGTCCCCAGCACGCAGACCCACTGCCCCCCAGAGTTCTGTCTCCTTGTCCAATGGGCAGCATCGCCACAGACGCCCAGCTAACCTGGAAGGTCTAGATCCCCAGTAGGGAAGCCCCAGTCCTGTTTTTGTGACCAAGACAATGAAGGAATTTCACCCAAGGGGCATGTGGCCAATGGCTAACCCGCTTGGCTGCTGAGCAAAGGACTGTGGGTCTAATGCCTCCCTGAGGCGCCTTGGAGGAAAGGCCTGGGGGGTCTACTTCTGGAAAATCTGCCCGGCAAACCTTATACAAAAGGGGTCAGAATGAGTCAGTGTCCAGGTGGCAGCTGATTTGCCCTCCTCCCCAAAGGAGACCATGTATGTGCACCCCACCCCGGTGAAGAGGCACAGGGACCATGGGGGCCACGTGTGGCCAGATGATGTCACACTCTCCCCTCGTGGCTCAGCGGTCCGTCCCAGGAGGACAGGTGGTTGGATATGTGTGTTTCTGGAACGTTCCGCTCCTCCAGGCAGGCCCGAGGCCCAGAGGAGGTCCAGAGCCCGACAGCCCGCTCACTCACCTTTGGGGGATCAAGCGCTCGGAGTTGAGGTACCCCGACTTGTGGGTCTCTTTGTTGTAGTCCCCAAACTTGGCCTGCACGGCGTAGGACCCCAGGAGCACGGCCGTCTCGGGGGGGCAGTAAATCTCGTCGCTCAGGATCCCGTCCTTCACTTGCAGGAAGAAGAGCTTCTGGGTGATGTCCTGGATGAGCTCCTCCGGCACGTCTTCCGGGTAGAACTTGGCGCGGAATTTGAACTGGAGCGGGTTCTCCTTTCGGAGTTCCTGGGCGGACACCTGGGGACACACAGCCGGCTCAGTCCAGAGCCCCACCTTCTGGGGCCCACCACCCACTTGGAAGGGTCTTCAGGCTGGTTTCAGAGGCTGCCCACCATTCTGAGTAGTCTCTCTGCACACAGACCAGCAGAGTCCTGCACTTTGTGGGAAGTCTAGCAACAGCTGGCTAGTAGCCCACCACAGCCATAGCCTGACCCTCCCCTAGCCCCCCATTTCTAGGACTCAGGCCTCCCATGACAGAGAAACTTGGATTTAGATCCTACCTCCCCCACCGCCCTGGGATCCGGGAATCCAGCCATCTGGCCAGGGTCTGGCACTGGGTCACACATAGCACCTACTACTCACTGGCCCCCTCGCCTCCACTCTCGGTTAAGAGGTTTGCTCAGAGGGTGGAGAGAAGCCGACATTTAGCTTCTTCCTGTCATTCAAATTGCCCTGTGGAGACACCCAGTCCTCGGAACAGGACGGTGATCTGCCAAGTGGTCAAACAGAACAGTGACAGGCCCTGACACCACAGTGGTGGGCCCTGGTTTAGAAGACCAACACTCTGAAAAAGAAAGGCCGAAGGCGGGAGAGGGGCTCGGCAGTCCCCCTGTAGTCTTCGTGCCAGGCTAAGTGAGCAACGAGAAGGGGGGTGGGGGGGTGCAACCAGCCAGTGTCCTCATTTACTGGAAGCCCGCAGCCTTTTGTCTGTTCAAACCTTTACACAAACAGACAGGGGCCAACAAAAGGCAGGGCTAAGGGGCTCGAGTTTCAGTGTCAACAGGTGGGCCCACATCTAGCTAACAGCCTGTAAGTGGTTAACCCCGACTTACCTTTTTATCAAGTTTCAACCAGGTAGGAAATCCTTTATTGTCCACATACTGGAGGCCAAAGTACCACACTTCCCGGAGGCCGATAGTCTTAACCACCTTGGAGAGGCAGAGACAGAGAGTCATCAGGGGGGTGCCACGGCCCCGGCCCCGGCCCCATCCACCCCCACAGTGGCCGCAGTTGGCTTTCATGGAAAGCCAACTCTCAAGTCATGCAGTAGCAACAAAGACCGTTGAACCCGGGTTATAAATGACTAATTTTTGTACGAACTTGAGCAGACTCAGAGCTGTCTTTATAAAACCACCCTCCTCCTTCCTCTAACTCCTACATGGCTTCCGGAGCACACGGGGTAGGGGTGAGGGTGAAGAGGGAAACGCTGTGGGCTGTTGTTGTGGGTGACCAGATGGCCGGTTTGGGGTGGAGCCCCAGCCAGCACAGGGTGTCCTCCACTCTGTGTATCCAGACAGAAATGTCACCTCTCAGGTACACCCACCTGAAAAAGGAATGACCAGGGAGCAATCCTCCCCGGCTCTGCTGGCTGCTGTGCCCATGTCCCAGCTGGCCTGAGCCTGAGCTAACTAGGAATAGGGAGACCGTGCCCCAGGAAGGCAGGACGTAGTGGAGGCAAGTGTCCTGGATGAGAAGACTCATTACATGTGCCAACGGGGACTGTTGTCTTTTACCAAAAACCCAAACTCACTGCTTTGAGTCGATGCTAACTCACAGCAGGGACAGGGTGGAGTAGAACTGGCCCCTGGGGGTTTCTGGAGCTAAACACCTTTACGGAAGCAGACGGCTAACCTTGCAGTTAGCAGCCCAAGGCTTACTCCACGGAGCCACCAGAAGCGTGAAGTTTGGATATATGAAGGGGTAGGTGGGGTCACCACTCTAGCTCCTGGCAATGCCAGATTTCACAAAGTAAATTTCTCCCACGTCCTCGAGGGGAGGAGGTCTCTCGTGCAGCACTGTGGAGACAGCTCCTGTCTAGAGGGTGGTCTTACGGGGGCCCAGCACCAGTCCAGGTGGATCCCGAGGGACACCAGCACAGAAGTGGGCGTTCAGGGCCCTGGCTGGCTGTTAAGTTTAAATCCCATGGTGTGTACAGCTAGACCTGCCGAAGGCTGTTCTTACGTTCTGCGTACACGACTTTTCTCATAATGTTCTAGAAATGACCTTTGTGACCTAGAGCTCTTGCTGAAAGTAAAATCTGAAATTCTAGGTAACTCCTGGCCGGCACTCGTGTCCTCAACTCCTGCAAACAGGGGAGATGCCACTGCTGCGCCATCCTCTGGGCGCTTTCTCGGCTCCTGCTCTTGTGAGGCGGCATTGCTCATCTGGTCACGCCCTTCCTCCCCCAGCCAGCAGCAGCAGCCCGCTTCGCTTCCTCTGCTTAGGCCACAGCGTTCCCCCTACTGCCACAGCCTCCTTCACTAGGGCAAGCTGGGCATCCTGTGGCCACGTTGAGGCACCTATGGTCCAAGCTGAGCTGGGGCACCTGCCTCTGGCTGCCCTGCTAGGCCTCGTGTCTTGCTGCAGTACCTCAAGTGTAAAACTCCTTGGGGATCATTTCTAGCAGCCCCTCACCCACTGACGTCTACAAATGGCACCGTAGCAGTAAAGAACCTTCCTGCCAAATACTAATCATCACTGCCATCGAGTGGGTTGCAGCTCGTAAGGACCCAGTAAGGACGGAGTAGACCTGCCCCTGTGGGGTCTGAAGCTGTAACTGCCCAGGAGCCCCTAGCCTCATCTTTCCCCAGCAGACCTTTTGGTTAGCGGCTCAACTCCACCAGAGCTCCTGTCTCTGGCTGGCTCTAAAAACCAGCCACAAAGGGAGGATGCAGCGTTCCTGGGAAACGCTCCTCGCCCCTCCACCCCAGGCTGAGACGCACCAAGGGCCCAAACACAAGGTGAGGCTGCACCCTCCTCTCGGCCCAGGAATGGCTTTCATGGCAGACCCTGGGAAGGAAGCTGTGTGTGTGTGTGTGTGTGTGTGTGTGTGTGTGTGTGCGTGCACACTTCACCCGTGACTCAAGCAGCTAGCTCAGTGGTTCTCAACCTTCCTAATGCTGAGACCCTTTAATACAGTTCCTCAGGTTGTAGTGACCCCCCCCAACCATAAAATTATTTTTGTTGCTACTTCATAACTAATTCTGCTACTGCTTTGAATAGAGCGACCCCTGTGAAAGGGTAACTCAACCCCCAAAGGGGTCACGACCCGCGGGTTGAGAACCGCTGACCTAGCAGGACACCTGCGTGATAGTCCCAGTGTGGCCCTGACAAATTGGAGCACTGGGACAGAATCCAGTTACCACATGCGTTAGTCCAGGTTAACTAGAGAAACAAATCTAGAGATACTCGTGTGTATAAGGAAGAGCTTTATGTACAAGAGCAATTGAATACTGAGAAAACACCCAGCCCAATTCAGATCAGGTTCATAAGTCTGGTAATAGCCCATGTGGCCAATACCAATCTATAAATTCCTCCTCAGACTCATGAAACACATGCAATGACGCCGAATGAAGGAAGATCACAGGCCAGTGGGTGGAAAGTCTTGTGGATCCAGTGGTGGTGGAAGCATCTCAGTGTTGGTGTGAGCCTCCAGGTGGTTCCTCCAACTCCAAGGCTCTGGCTCTACTAATGTAGCTTCGTGTGGCTTGTCAACAGGAATGTCTCGCAGGGAGTGAGCACGTATCTGGCCTCCAGTGAGTTATTTATCTCTTGTTTGTGCCTCCCAAATGAGGTCATCCAGCTGCGACCTGACTGACAGGCCAGACTCCACCCCTTCGCAAGTTGACAGGTTATGTAATTGCCACACCACAGGAACATGCTGGGATTCCAAGGTGGGTGGGGCTTACGGGAGAGGAGATTTAAGTAACACGTGAAGTGAGCAGGGGGGTGAGGGTGGGCTGGAACTTACGTTCACAGCCCTTCAGAGCTCTTTAAAACTCCTCCATGCCGGGACCCGATTTGGGGACTGGGACCACTGGAGCCCATGAAGGAGCTTCCTAGATCTTGGTCACCTGCACAGGTAGTGTCTGCTCATCTTTCGCCTGCGTACAGGTAGGAGGAGGGAAAACCCTCCCTGAGCACTCAGTCCCTGAGCCTTTCACGAAGAAATATTCTCAGCTTCGTCCAGGGCTGTCGGGGTGGACGTGCCCCAGGAGGGGGGGCTTCAGGAATCAAAGCTGCGCTGCAAAGTGAGACGCCTAGTTAGAGTGGGGGGTTGTGGAAACTGGCTTCCCCAGTGCGAGCCCCTGGGTTCACCCCTGTCGCACGTGCCCACTGGGCTGATGAGACACCTGGGGTCAACCTGCATCTCCAGAAGAGTAAGGTCACCAGGGTTCAACGACCCGGCAGGGCTGCCCTGGCCCTGCCTGGATGGATGGATGACCAGGGTTAGGGCCTTAATCTCACCGAGACTCCATTTTATCATCTGTGACACACGTGTATTAGACCAAGGAAATTTCCAAGGTCTGCTCCAACCTCAATGTCCTTAGATTCTCTGAAACGAGACTCAGAGACTCAGACGAGAGATTCAGTGACATCCAGCCCCATCACTGAAGGGGACTGACGGGAACTGGGTGCCGAAGGAAGGGGGCAGGTGGACAGCCCGAAGCCCCTAGTCCATGTGGGACAGAACAGCTTGTCTCTTCACTGAGGTTTAGATAGAAAAACTTGCCGACTGAAGTAAGGGTCAGCCAAGCTTTTGCTCCAGCGAACCGATTCTTCAAGGGGCGAGGGACAGAGATACGCTGCTTTAACAGGATGGCTGATGGGATGTTAAGGTACTCTGGAATCATCTACCTTCAGATCTTCTCAAGACTTGCCACATTTACCAAATTTGTGTGATTATGTTTTTTCCTTCATCTTCTTCCCCACCCCAATCATCCACAATGATTGATATGGATGGAGTTCTGGGTTCATTTCGACACCCGCTCAGCCACACCTCCGTTCTGCAGGTGAACGTCGGAAGGAGATCCTTTACAATGAAAACAGAGCGCCCCGGCTTGATGCAATCGTTCAGTGTTTAGGGGGCTGTGGGTGTTCTGGTGGTGTCACGGTTCCATGTTGGACCGCTAACCACAGGTCGGCAGTTCGAAACCACTAGCTGTTGTTCCTTGTTGCCTCCTCCCGTGAGATCTGCCGACTGGAGCTGAACATCTCCAGCGCTCCGTGAAGAGACAACAGGAAGTGCAAAAGAAGAAGAAAGAAGCCACAGCGCCTAACCACATGCTGAGGAAGTCAGTCAAGGGGCCTGCCTCTTCCCCTGCACCGCACCCTCCCCCCACCCCCACTGCCTCTCACTGCCACGCCCAGGCCACCACTGGCAAGTCAGGGACTAGCTGCTGGCTGTTCTCACAGCTCACGGGTAAGCAGTTTCTACACTTTTTTAAAAAAAACAGTTGGAGGCGGGAATCACATGTGTCTACATAGACACTCCAACTGACACACAGTCACACCTATCCGCCCATCAAAACCACCAGCCGCTCATCTGGAGGAAGACGAGGCTCTGTGTCCCCGTAACAACTGACAGCCTCAGGCACCCTCTCCGGGCACTGTGCATCAGAACTGCAGCAGGCACGTGCTCAACGCCTAACTAGCAGTTGATGGCTGAACCCATCAACAGCGGTGGGGGAGAAAGATGGGGCAGTCTGCTTCCGTGAAGATTTGGAACCCTCTGGGGCCGCCTGCTCTGCCCTACGGGTTGGCTATGGGTCAGAATGGGCACCACCGCCATGGGGTCGAGTTTACAGACAGAGAAGAATGCAGACAAACCCAGTGGTGTCTTTATTGAAACAAAATTATCTGGTGATTGCCAGAGAAAGACACACAGACACATACATGGAAGCTCAAGTTCAAAGGCACTGACCTGATCAAAAAGCTGCTTCCCAGTGGTGTTTGGCTGGATGGCGAACTCCAGCTCCGCATCCATGGTGGTAACCCGGACATTGATCTGGAAAAGAGGGCAAAACCCGTCACTCAGACTGCACGGGGTGGGGTGGGGGTGCTCTGCTCTCTATCAGCCTCCTCGGCAAGGCAGCAATAGAAAGTCCCTCTCGCACACTTGTGTGTGTACGTACACACACACACACACACACACACACACACACACACAGTGGATGAAGCCTCGGTATTCACACAGTGTTGGCCTCAAACATGTGGCCTCTCTGCTTCAGACAAAACATTCCCACTTGGATCTGAACTGTTTTTCTACCAAAACGCGTTGATAACGGTGACTATTTTTCCACACACCACTGCACTGGGCCCCAACAGCCCACGGGCTGGGCCTGCAGCGGAAACGGTTGGCCCTGCGGGTGGCCCTGCGGGCGGCAAAGCCAGGCAGCAACGTGGAGGCAAGAGGTTTCTGTGCCCTTCGACCGGGTGGATTCCCGGTGAGAATTCACTCAGCCCGGGCGTGAAAAGAGAGATAGGGAATGGAATCCTGAAGGTTTATGGCAACACCAGGGGCCGTCTAAGCAGACAGAGACGGGGCGGAAGCGGCACATGGAGGAAGGCAGGGTGTGGGGAGCAACTGAACACCCATTCTGAAGGCAGCGGAAGCACGGGCATCGCTTCTAAAAATCACAATCACAAGAAACAGTGGTGCACGCACGGCCCACCGATGCCAGCGACCAGCTTGACCAGACAGCAGCCACAGTGATGCCACCTGGAGGGGGGAGGGGCTTGAGGAACGCTTCTAATGCTGCCACCTAGGTGCTTGTCTCCCAAAGCAGACTGACTTCAAGGTCGTTTTCAAACGTGTCACTTGAGAAAAACCCAGACGCATATGCATATGGAGAACACTCCCGGTCTGGCAACCTTTCTGCCAGGACCTGAGGAAACTGCTAGGCACTCCCTGCCATGCCACCAGGCCACCGCAGGGCTACGCCGGGCTACACGCCAAGACCACTGTGCCGGCCGTTTCTCAGCCATTCCTGACACAGGAAGCTTCGCTCACATCTAGCTGACAAAGCCCTGCCCCCAAGCCCTACGCGGAGCTAGAAACTGATTGAGGAAGGAAACTGGTCTTTCTGGAACATTCCCAGGCCCCTGAACCAGTAAATCTTAAAGGTTCTCTGACTGAAATAGTATAAAGGGGGGGGGGGGGGGGAGATGACAATTTTCCACAATGTTAAGAATGAGCACCCCCACCCCCCACCCTGCGCTCCAAGCGCCCAATTTAACAACACGGAGTTCACTGAGAAAACAAGGCTAGACACTTTCAAGTCTTCAGCCTTATTACAATATAAAGAGCCAGGCATTTCTCATTTCCTGTTGGCAATGGGTTATTTAAAAAACAAAACCTACCCACAAAATGGCAGTTAGAAAGCCTAAAATAAAGCAGGGAACCCTCCCAGTTTGGGTTCTAAGGGCACATATTAGAGATGGGAAAAGTGGCCCCGGCGTCAGATGTTCCAGTAACAAGCCCTGCTCCCAATTACATAGTCAGCTGCCAGCGATGACATAGCACATTCGGGTAAAAGGGGAGTGGAGTCGGGCCAAGGAGGCCTGAGCCCAAGTTTTCTGACTCTCCCTGTTCCTCAAACACCAACCAACCAAGGCCAAGGCTTCTCCACTGGTTAAAACAAGCTGAGAATACCGCAGTCCACACATAAAACCAACCCCACCCACAGCCACAGAGGCCATTCTAATGCACAGCAGCCCAATAGGAGGCCTTCCAGGTTATGAACCTTTCTCCCTCAGAGCCCTTGGTGGATTAGAACAGCAGACCTTGTAGTGAGCAGCCCAACGCTCCCCAGGAGTCTCGAAATCTTACACCCCCCTCCCCATTGGAGGACAATGGGAAAATGCCATTCTGAAACCAAGGGCAGTGACCATGAAAGAGATGGTGGGAACCACTGTGCAATGATGGACAGGCATTGAGGCTTTAAGGTTCTGAATCAGGTTTTGACTCAAAGGTCACCCAACTCCAAGCAGGAAGGAAGTGACCGTCTTCAAAATGAAGCTTACAGCGGGGCTATGTGTCACACCTCATGTGGGGGAGTGGAACTTCTTAATCTGGCTCTTCTACCCATGCCTCGGTACCGCCCACCAAAGGACTGGGTGGGAGTCCCTGGTGGTGCCAATGGTTAAGAAACTCGACTGTTAATTGAACGGTTGGAGGTTCAAGTTCACCCAGAAGTACTTTACAGGAAACGACATTCTAAGTGTAGAAGTGGTTTCTCCAGAGAATCACTTCCCCCCACCAAAAAAAGTATTGCTCAATGTGACTGAGTGGTGGAATGATACGCTATCAGTAAGAGCTCCCACATGACTGGGTGGGACTATGCAAAGAGGGCCTGTGGCTCATGCCTAGAGGGGATGGGTCAGATTTAGTTCCCACCCTCCTAGCTACACGGATGAGCCATCTTTGAAACTGGAAGAACGAGAAGTCCCAGGGCCACTGGAAGAAGTCTCTAGTGCAGCATATTTGAGATCTTCGTCTGAAGTGGGGGTTGATGCAGGGCAAGGAGACCGGGAGACAGAGTGGAGGGCTGGCTTCCTGGCCCAAGGAGGCAGAGGCCAAGGGACCGAGAGGCTGAGAAGCTGAGGTCTTGAGACTTGGCTGCTGGCTGAGGAAAAGTGTTGCTGTGGGCCAATGACTGCATCCTTACTGTCTACTGATGGTGACTTGCGGTAGCTTATTAACTTCCTTAACCAACCCCCATCATTGTGAAGCTTGTCTGTGTGGCCATCACCTTGAATTGTACAATCCAGCACAGAAGTTAAGGGTCAAGAAAGATGGAGGAGGGAGGCATGTTAGACGCCTGCCTCATGGCAAGAGGGAGGTCAGATATGCCACCTCTCCCCTGCCCGCAATGCCATCTACTGAACCATTATAGACCCGAGGCTCCCATCGCAAGAACATCAACTGAATATTGGCAGTGCCAACACAAGCCACTTGGCTAAGTCTCCGCCAGTGGGGTCTGTCCACAAATATTCTGCCCAAGCTCGATGCTCATGGGAAATCACAGAGTACTGTCAAAGATCATCAGCTTAAAGGTGACTTAACTTGTTTTGGAAGCCCAGTAATCCAAGACATTAGCTCCAGGAGCCCTGGGTGGTGCTGTAGGTTAGGCAGTGAGTGGGCTGCTAACCGCAAGGTCGGTGGTTCAAACCCACTAGCCACTCCATGGGAGAAGGATGAGGCTGGCTACTCCTATCAAGAGGTACAGTCTCGGAGACCCTGTACAGAGTCATTGTGAGTGTGATTGCACCTGCTAGATGGTTTGGTTTTGGTTGAGCTACAGGAAGGAAAGAATTGCACCTGGTTATGCCGTATGGTATAAGCAATCAGCTGCTGACCCAAAGGTTGCTGGTTCAAACTCACCAGCTGTGCTGCACAGGAAGACGAGACAGTTGCTTCGGTCAAGAATGACAGCCCGGGAACCCCTTATGAGGTAGCTCGACTCGATCCTGGGGGGACTCTGTTAGGAGTCAGAGTCCGAGCAACAGCAGTGGACACCGGAAACCAACAGACCTCGCCCGCCAGTGTGTCCAGTCCCCTGGCCTGTCGCAAGGAGCTTTTTTGACTTTCAGAAATGATAAAGCCAAGTTGATTTTTGTCCTTGTCCGTGTCCATGTCCGCTCATGCTACTTCATGTGCAAGTTGAGATGGGAGCACTCCCGAGAGCTGACCTGAGGCCTGGGGGTGTCACTGGAATGTGGGGTGGCACAAACATGTATGCTGCAGCTCAATCCCAAACTGCAGAATGTCTAGCACCCCTGAGTCCACCCACAGGTACACCCCCATCATGGTAACATCGCAGTGACCCCTTCCCCATTCCCAATGCTGCCTGGGGGAGGAGAAGGGGCTGCCATCTCCGAGGAGCAATCATGGATGCTAAATCATTCCGTATTTAGATGGGCTATTTCGATTTTACAGGTCTTTAATGTGATGCCGAAATACAGGGTACACCTTTATCAACCTGTACGATGAAAGGCAGACGCAGGTGCCAGGACCAGTAACTTACGACCTTGGGTCCTTTCATCCCATCCCCGGGCTACAAAGAAACCAGGCTACAAAGAAACCAGGCTTTTGCAATTAAGTAGCTGTGTCTAAATCTCAACTCTCCCTGACTACTTGTGTGTTAGGTTTCCAGGGAACACCACTGTTTTCCATGAGCTCAAAGGACTTGGAGGCAAGCAGGGGGCTTGTCTTTGCAACAGCACCATAGAAATACTGTGGGATCGCATGGTTCTGGTATTTGTGTGGATGGTACCACAGGAACTAGATGTCCTCGGGCTTAAACAGCCCACCCACAAACCCAGGGCCCGTGCAATGGCTGGAGTGCGCACGCAGTTATCAATTTTTATCATCTTGGCAACCCCCCACCCCCACCACCCGCCCTGGTCACAGGTTATTTTTTTTATCAAAGGCTACAGAGCTACATGTGATAGGACATGTGACTACTGCATTACTTCATCATGTCGAATCTATGCAAAACTGGGCTTTTTAAAAAACATGTTAAGTTTTGCTTGGGTGGGGATCAAAATTTCGTTTTGTTCATGTACCCCCCCTCCCCCCCACGTACAAGCACACACACAAACTACCATGTGGCTGATGGTGCAGGCAACTTAATAATTCATGTCTTCCCCGCCAAACATGATTCCACTTGAAGCTAAAATCCGACACCATATTAAGAGTCTGAAAGTGTTAAACCGCTCAAAGACCCAGATATAATCAGAGCCTACTGTTTAGAATGGAAATCTATAAATAAGCTTTGACGGGGTTGGGGTATAGCTGCATCCTTCAGATGCAAAAAGGACATGGCATTGGTATAACTTAGACACACACCCAGACTTTTGGAACTAACGGACTTACCTGAATATGGGTCATGAAAACTTGGTATTGAAGCTAAACGAGCCCCGCAGCCTGCCCCGAAGAAAATGAGGTTCTATTGAAGAGAAGTACAATTCCACCTGACCCTATTTAGCAGAAGACCCACTGGC